GTGTGTGTGTGTGTGTGTGTGTGTGTGTGTGTGTGTGTGTGTGTGTGTGTGTGTGTGTGTGAGAGAGAGAGAGAGAGAGACATACCTGAGAGAGAGAGAGAGAGAGAGAGAGACATACCTGCCTCACGTGCCGCTCACCGCTCCACGCGCCTCTCCGCACGCTGGTCGCTGCGCAGCTGCTCACCCCCCCACGCTTGCCTCCCCTTGCCGCGCGCGCTTCTCCACGAGTGCACCCGACGATGGCACAGCCGAGCCGACGAAGGCTCCCCACGACGGCGCTCGACGACTGGGCAGGCGCGAAACACCCCCCCACAACGGTTCAAACAAAAAAAAAAAAAAAAATTGAAGGTATTCAAGAATTTCAAGGTAACCCGCCAGGCCACTTTCCGGCCGTTCCGGTTCGTGGCCGACGGCGGCAAAAATCTGGGGGCGATTTTTTTTGGGCGGCTCAGGGCCTGAGAAAAAGCCCTGGACCGCCCAAAAAAATTTTGCCCCTTGTGCTGGGGCCCTCTAATCCGGACCAACATCCGGACCCGGACCCCGGACCCCGGACCACGGACGGTCCGGATCCCTGTTCGGTGGTCCGGATCGTAGCCATGGCTCAAACGTACAAAATCAACGATCAGCTGACAATGTAACTTCAACCACCCATCCTCCCGTCTTCCACCTTTGGTCAACCTGGCCTCTTTTCCCCTTGTCCGTATGGCCACAGCATTGTAACCTTCATTGCGCCAGTAATCCACAACCCATGTAAGGGATCGAATAATAGAGTCATGCGGCAAATTAGTAAACATTTCTTTGACGTCGAATGAGGCACCCACCAACATCTCATCCTTCTTCAGCTTGTTATTAATCCTCGAAATTTCCCGAATGCGGTCAACGGTGGAGCGTAAGTTGAAGTGAGTATCAGAAGGTAGTCGCCAGAGTAGAGTGTTAACAGCCCTAGAGATCCGCTTACTGCCCATGTTAGAACATTCATAATAAGTTGGACAGATAGGGCGCCAACGCAGCACGTCCTTATGTTTCGGAATACAATAGGCATTCCCAAAAGATCCGGAGCGATCCCATTTTCCGACAACATGGAGGCCTAGCATAGAATAGTTTTTACCGCAATCTGCCAGCACAGTTTTTTCATCAATCTCACACAGACTATAGGAGGGATTGTTAAGAAACAGTTTAGTCAACCCTTCACGATATACAAACGAACAGCAGATGAAGGTATCACTTGTATTGTGATCCAGCGGGGAGCACACCAGTCCCTCCAACTTTAACAGCCAATCGTTCATGTCATCAATACAGCCACGTTCGCAACATTCATTGTCACCGGCTTTTCCAAAACATGCACCAAAGTCACAGCTCAAGAGCACTTTAGGATCAAGAGAAGGAAGAGAAGTCATAGACTCAAAGGCAGAAAAGACTTGTTTGCGTAAAGCAGGGGTAGAATGTAGTACTGAAGGTCGTAGGATATTTTTAGAGTTGCGCATCCAATTTGGGAAGAACCCCACTTCATTTAGTCTGAAAGAAACATGACCATTACTCCGTGGAAAGGACAGGTCTGAGACAGAGCATGTGCAGGAATGAGAAGCAAGCTTAGCATGTCTTCGATGATTATGCAAAAATCAGCGACAGTCTTATTCCGTTTCCATACGATGCGAAGACGACGTAGAAGCAGATCCTTCCAGGCAGGGATAATGTCGAGACTGCCGACCAATCTGGCACAGATTGTCCGAATACTGGATTTTACCAACAACGAATCATATACCACCCTGACGACCAGTCGTTCACGAATTCGAATACTGAAAACCACACGTGCTACGTTAGAAACAATCTGACGCAATCGAGACCGGGTTCTTTTTCTCGGAACGTACGGACAGCAGACAAAGAAAGGAGAAGATCATCCGAACTGCGAGAGTAGAGGGCTTTTCGAGAGGAGGGGTCACTAAGCAAGGTAACCAACATAGGTTTCAAGGAAAGACATCGACGGAGAAAAGGAACAATAGTTTGGAAGTGAAGTACCGCACCGCTGACTAGCCAACCTTTCGACACACGAAGTTGATCGCAACCGAATTCAGAGGAAACCACAGAAGACCCATACGATCGCTTCAACACCTTCCACCGATCGATTCTCAATTGACCTCCACCACATACCACAGAACACTGGGAAATACCATGATCACAACAAAAATCAAGAATACGAATAAGACTATTAGAAGCAATACCGATAGAAGATTGAAAAGTCAAAATAGAATTACAGTTATCAGCCGGTGGGACCAACGCAACAGACCCTTGTTTTTTATTACGCCGTTGCCTCTCCTTTTTTCCAGGTCGGCACTACCGATGTCGAACCGCCTTATCACGAGAATTGAGCGAGGATGAGAACAAGTGAATGAAGAATTTCTCCTTAGAAAGAAGATCATCGGCAGAACATCGCAAAATCGGAATCGCCACGTAATTACGAGTGCCACACCTACGCAACGATCTATAGAGTCGCTCATTCCGTCCCTTGCCATTCACCAAACTAGAATTAGACGAACGATAGATATGTTATCTCCATCTTTCATTCAGACCTCGCGTTATACTACCCACGTACAGGTGGCGATTGAAGGGGGAGACTAACACGTACACGAGTGGACTATTCAAAGTACTGACCTCCAGACCTTCTCTGCCCAACGTCAGAAAGTAACTCTTCAATTTAACAGCCCATGGAATCTGATCCAGCGAGATGAGAGTGATCAAAGCAAGACAGAGAAGAGAGTTGATGCAGCTATTTCGAAGAAGATCATCAGAAAAGGAATGAATACGACAACAACGTTTCACAATAGACCATAGATTGACCACGTCCGGGTACGAACCTACGAAGAGACGGCCTCATCGTCGGCCGCCTTACCACCGGACCCAGAACCCGCCACGTCCTCAGAACCTTCGTCAATAGTTAACACATCATTCTTCGATCCTCCGGAACTTGACCCAAAGGCTTGAGCAGTCCTTTTCTTCACGAGCTCTTCTTTGGCCACGTCAAGAGTGGAGTAAGTGATACCCTCCCTCGCACATAGGGCCTTGACTTCGTCCATCTTCATCCGTCTCAAGCTCTTCCTTGCATCTTTCATAAACGCCTCCCGATTGTTCAACGTCACATCCTGCTCGTCAGTTCGAGCGACAACTTTCTTCCTGGCAGATGTGCCTTTTGCAGCAGCGACATCATCCAATTTTGAACGGAACTCCGAACGAGGTGTCGGTTGGACCACCTTATCCTTCTTGGCTAATGCATCTTTCAGTCGTTGAGCTTCTTGTTCAGCTTCCCTCGCTTGATTCAGATCCCGTGCTCGTAACTCCTTAAGAGCATCCACCTCCTCCTGGTGCCGATTAGACATCTCGCGAAGGTCGTCTGTAGCCTGCCGAAGCGCAGCAGATGGGGACTTGAAAACGGACTGCACTGGTGAAAAACGTCTTCTCACACGTGGGATCGATGGTGGAGTTGGGAGCACAATGCTACCCCGCTTGTTGTCAGGCTGAAGAGCTTGGTTCATCCATGCATCAGCTTTAACCACAGCACCGTCCCGCTCCTTGCGCAAACCTACGAGCTCACCCTCCATAGCGGCCACACGTTGGTCGGTCAATGAAATGCTCGCCAACCGCTTCTTCAATTCCTCTTGCTCATGCAACAGTTGGTCAATCAACTCCCTCTCAGGAACTTTACTAACAGTGACCGGAGCCACTGAAGCAGTTGCAACACGACAACGTCGAAGCTCGTCAACTTCCGCATGTAGCTTCTCAACAGTATCACAATCCTTGCCCTTTGATTCCTTCAATACTTCACAAACACGGTCCAACTTAGAATTCATGGTTACCGCCATCTCACGATGAAACGCCTCATGCTCCTTGCGATCTTGCAACCTCCTCTCCTCCTCCTCTTTCTCCTTCTTAGCCTTCTCTTCATCATCTTTGCGGTTGCGTTCCTTTTCTTCCTCCGCATCGTGACGCACCTTCATTCTCACCACAATGTCTTCCAAAGTATCCACTCGCTGGCGAAGCCAGCCTCGACCATATTGTCCATCCGACGAATTCGGTGGAATAGAAGAGGAAGAAGAAACAGGAATAGAATTAGGATTAGGCAATGTAAGAAGGGGGGCTTGAGAAGGGACAATGACAGAGTTAGGATTAGCAACAGGATTGGGACACCATTTTGAGAAATGACCGGGCTGACCACAGTTGTAACAGGAACGAGAGAAAGACATATTGTTATTAGCCATCGCAGCGACGCTTCCGAGGTATCGACGAGGTTGGCTTGCGTGCATGTGACTGTGCCTGTCTGTGTGCTGGTTGGTATGAGTGTGTGTGTGACTGCGTGTGACTGCGTGTGACTGCGTGTGCCTGCGTGTGACTGCCCATGACTGTGCCTATCAGGCTATCACTGCTTTGTGTCTGTCTGCGTGTGACTGTGCCTATCACTGCTGTTCGGTCCAAGTTGCCTGCTCGTGGGCAGGGCAACTGTCCTGAGTGCTGGTTACACTGAGGTAGGATAGTGGGACAAGGGGTGAGCTAGGAGTACGACGAGAGGATGGGTTGGGATTGGGTCTCAAAAGGACACCCATGGCTCACAGTTCCAGGTGATCGCTGTGCACTCATCGACTGTCCAGACATGTTTCATTTCTCCGAGTTACCTTATAAAAAATAATGAGAAAAGCTGTTTCTAGCATTTTTTTCAGTTTTTTTTATTTCTTGTTTCGAATTCATTAGGCAAGGGGCAACATGAAATCTCCTCTTCACAGAGAGAGGAAAACTATGCTTGCAGGGGTCCCCTCTAGATAGTCTTAGGAGTAGGTAGTGGAAGGTAAACAAACAGAAGTTGAGAGAATAATATAGACAGTTGTGATGACCCCCCCCCCCAAAAAAAAAAAAAAAAAAATGGCGTCACACGGACTCACACCGTTGAGTTTTCTGAACTCAACAACCGTAGGTGGGACCAGGCCCCAGGGGCTAGGGGCCTGGACCCACTAGCAAGGTATTCTACCATGCCGTTCCGGATTTCGATCACGTGTGGCATAGAGTGACTCAGTACGGCCGTCGAATAGATCGCATCTGGACGGCCTGGTAGTTTCCGAGCGGGGACTGTAAAGATGCCCACCTCCCGTCCAATGACATGCGTCGAAAAAAAAAAAGGAAAAAAGTTGGACTAACTTGGACATGATAGCTCGTGGCTTTGCGTGGGCGGGAAGTCTGGATTTTATGGGCTCTAAGGGGGCGGGGGGGTCATTTCCAGACTTCGTTTTTTTTTTTTTTGGCTCTGAGAAATAGAACTTGAAATGTGAAATTCAGATATCGTGGTGGGTCTGACAGGAACGCTTCCGCGTCTGTCAGATGGCCTGTTAGAGGCATCATGAGATACATGGGGATGAATGTATCCCTATAGCCATTACTTGTTCATCCTCGTGGCTGTGTTCGTGGACACATTTTATTGCCACGGTACATCACTATGAAGACTTACGTGAAGGAGATCGTACCAACCCATGAATTCGGGTGCACAACTGTTCTTCATAGTTTTATGTGCTATTTCACTTCATTGTAAATCAGAAAACGATTCATTCATGCAAATAAAAAATCACTTTGTATTTTCCAAAAAAAACATAAAACTGTGTCACACGTCGTAGAATACTTCGCTAGTGGGTCCAGGACTCCAGGCCCCAGGCGACCAAAAAAAGACACACAGAAAAAAAAAAAAAAAAAAAGGAAAGAAAGAAATGGCCATGTGCCTGATAGAACTGCTAGAAAAAGCCAGCCCGAGTTTCAAACTGCTAAACACATTTTCAAATGCAATTGAAACTCGGGCCCTCACTGAACTACTTAAACAAGGACTGAGAAGAGAAGAGACCGCAGCCCCAGTTAACAACAAGCAGCAATCTCAGTGTTACATGATGAAAAAAGAAAAAGAAAAAAAGTAACCCTGTCTGCGCCGTAGTTTTTTTTTTTTTTTTTTTTTT